TTATGTTCTCTAATGGAAGATTTTATGAGAAGGGTAATCTGATTATTTCTTAATTTAGATCAGCATTTATATTAGCCGATTTTCTAAAATCTCTGTCTCCGACTTTTACTTCTGAGGAGAAGAAAAAGGAAATGATATCTTTGAATCCCACAGATCCTCCTTGATCTGACATGAACAAGTCTTTGTCATTTTATTTTTAAAGCTAACAAGTTGGAGCGAAGAGGAAAAGCAGTCCAAATATTTGCAATGTGTTCACAATTCTTTTAGGAAAACTTGGTTTAATCTTCTCATATGTTACCCCTGAAATGAGTTCTTTCTCTTGGTCAGTATTGCTGGTTAATAAGTAGTCTTGGTGCCTTAACTGTCTGCCTTTCAGTCCCAACTCCACCACTTACCAGCTGAGGGGCCGACAGAATGGTATTTGCTTTCTCTGTTCCATGGGAATCATGTTATCTGTTTCATAGCCCACTGTGAAAATAATGCCATAAAAAGTAATGCTCAGAATCCTTAAGCCTTTTGGTGTTGACAATAATGATATGAGGTTGAATTGGACTTTGTTTCAGGGTGCTGGACATTTTTTTGCCCCATTTTGAATTTTACTTTCCAAACTTTGGAGACCCTACACTGGCCTTGTTAAAGGAAGGAGTAATTCCACTCTTCTTATATCCTGTGAGAATGGCTAATATGAGTAGTTCTGGGTTTCTTAAATCCCCATTCTCTACCAATGCAGAGTTACTATGGTACAAACTGGTGTTCTACTCATCTGCATGATGGCTAGTTGTTTGGTCTACTGGTTTGGGGGTTTTTGTTTCTTGCTTTTTGCTTGTTGTTTTGGAGGGTCTTTTTAGCAGTGATGGAGTTTGAATATAAGGCCTTGCACTTGTTGGTTTGACTTCCATACCCAGCTTGTTTAATAAGATTGAGGTTTTACAACTGTTTGAGCTGGCTTTGAACTGAAATTCTCTTAATCTATGCCTTGTGGGTAACTAGGGTTGCAAGCATGAGCCACACTGCCCAGCTGATCCACTTTTGAGGGAGTTAGTACTTCTTACTATTCTGAGAAAGAAATGGGCAAAAAGGTGGATTGCTACTATTTTCTGGGATACAAGGAAGGAAATTACTTTAAATATCTTGATTAGTAATTTTTTTTTTTTTTTTGTCGGTCGTGGGGCTTGAACTCTGGGCCTGGGCACTGTCCCTCAGCTCTTCAGCTCAAAGCAAGTGCTCTACCACTTGAGCTACAGCGCCACTTCCGGTTTTCTGGTGGTTTATTGGAGATAGGAGTCTCACGGTCTCTCCTGCCCGGGCTGGCTTTGAACCGTGATCCTCAGATCTCAGCCTCCTGAATAGCTAGCATTACAAGCGTGAGCCACCAGCGCCCGGCTTGATTAGTAATTTATAAGAAAAACTTTTTTGAATAGATAACTTCCAGACATGTTGGGATACACAAAACATATTTTCATTTATTTCATCTGTCTTTTTTCTAACTTTTGTTATATGGCTTCTAGAAAAATTTAAAACTGTCTACAAGGTTCACATTTGTTTTTCCATTAAGCCAATGTGCACTGCATGGGAAACAGAATTTCTGACTTTTTTTTTTCCTCTAAATCTTTGCTTTGTCTCAGTGACACTAAGTTAAGGTATATGCAAATGACTCCCACCTTGGATGGGACATTGGGATAGGCCATTCTGGCCACAGTTTTGGTGTGAGCCAAGTCGAATTCAATGACTTGGAGGACAAAATATTTGCTGGGACACATGCCAAGCACTCTGAGAGAGCAGAAATGTATGAACCAAACAAACAGTAGTCATGAGTTTCAAACTATCAGATCAGACCTTAATCAGAATAATGCAGGGCTTCATAAAGGTAAAATGAAAGATACCAATACTTATGACCAGTTATCAAGTCAATAGTCTCTGTTGGTTTTCTTATGAAGAGATGAGTTGGTTCCTCAACTTGTTTTGTGCCTTCTGGATGATCTATATAGTTTATCTAGCTGAGATGTCTTGGTAATCAAAATGCCAGCTCAGCTGGTATTCTGATTATGTTTATACTTAAGATTTTCTCCTACCCTCTGGGAATTTTTGCCATGGATAATTACAGAAGTAAACCTAGAAAGTAGTTTGCCAATAGTGCTGATTCTAAGGTGTAGTTTGGTGGAGTTTTAAGACTACAGTCTTCATCTTCTCTGTCACTGCCATGAATACATAACCTAAATAAAAATACAGCTTGGACGCAATCCCTCAATCCTTCTGACTGGGCCTCTGGCTCTTAACTCCTTCCCTTTGGCAACTCTGGAGCTGTGCCTGGCTAATAGTAAATGATGGATTTAGGAAATACACACACACACACACACACACACACACACATTTAAAAACTTACATATTGACGATGGAGTCCTCATGATAAAGGGCAAAATTTACGTGGAAAGAAGGAATCTGTTGAAAGCCACTGCTGCTATTGTCATTAAAAAAAATCATGCCAGGCACCAGTGGCTCATACCTGTTATCCTTGCTACTAAGGAGGCTGAGATCTGAGGTTCACAAAGGTTCACAAAGCCAGCCAGGGAGGAAAGTCCATGAGACTCTTATCTCCAATAAACCACCAGAAAACTGAAAGTGGTGCTGTGGCTCAAGTGGTAGAGTGCTCGCCTTGAGCTGAAGAGCTGAAGGACAGTACCCAGGCCGAGTTTAAGCCCCATGACTGACCAAAAAAAAAAAAAATCAATCATATCTACAGTGGGCCAGTCATGGTCAAAAGAGGGACCAATTTCTTCCTGTTTGCCTCTCCTAAATGGCTTAGGAAGGGGAATAGCAAGTGTGGTCACCCCTGGGCCATTCCCAGGCTGTACAAGTAGCTGGAGGTTTGGAATGTTTTTCTACTTATACTTACAGAAGACTGACATCCCAACGCCTACCAAGCACTGCCCCATTCAGGAAGTTTATGAGCCCTAAGTTGATTTTTGTTGTTTAATGGGACTTAAAGTGTTTTCTTTCATAGACAATCTTTTGCATACTTCCTAACCCTCTTCTCCCAAGCTCATTTGGCCTCTAAGATAATTAGAAGGTTTTCCTGGTTAAAAAATAAAACAAAAACAAAAGCTATGTTCATTTCTGCACGGTAACATTTCAGAAGCGCATACTCTTCTACTTGGTGTGGAGCGGGTGATGCCATCTCTAGACGCTCCTTGTTCATTACTTAAGAAAGCGCCGTAGACCAGCTCTAATCCCCTCAAATGTAACACTGATTCAGACCAGCTTCTGCACTGCCAAGAGGACAAGGTAGAAGGGTGAGGCCAGTGGGAGCCTTGCAGAGAGAACATAGGTAGAAAGTGAGTTCACTGGGAATGGAGATCTGTGTCCTTCCCCACCCCAAGGTTGAGTGGATGAAGATAACTGGGAAACAGTGATGAGGGCAGGGTGGGAGATAGGAGAAAAGCTCTGTTAATATCAGGCACTGTCCATGTCTTTCTTCTCCAAACTCTCTAGCTCTGGCAGGGCTAGAACATGCTCAGACACTGCATGGATGCATGCTCAGACTCTGCTACTGCATGGATATGAGGTTGCTCACACTCTTGACATTAGAACTAACTGGGGCAGCAGCCAGTTTAGAACCTGGGCCAGATCTGGCTGTCAGCTCCCCAGGCATCCCTCTGCTCCCTTCCCTCAGGAGGGGCAGTGTCCTCATAAGTAGCCTTCATGAACACAGAGTATAAAACCAGGAGCACAGCTATAACAAGGAGCACAACTATACAATGTATTCCTATATTCCGTGTATTCATGACAGTGAAGTCGAGAGGATATTTTGTAAGAGTTTACAAGTGTTCCTCTGGTCTGCTCCCTAAAAACTTAGCCAGAAGCTCCTCTATGCAGCTAGCATTATCTCTATAGAATGTTATGAGCGTTCATGGCTACCCAGAGTTATACTCAAATATCTCAATTAAGAAACCTGTAAATTAGATGTCAGTTGGACTTTTAGGACCAACAATGAATGCTTTGAGCTTCTACAGCAGGCATCTTCTTCCCCGGGGTCCATTTCAATGGCAGCTAGAACTGCTTTGGGCTGAGAATTACAAACCCCCTCCCTCTGGGGAGAAATGGAAGGTGAAACATGGAGAACCAGCCTCAGGGAGAGTAGCAAACTGCTGCTCAGGGTAGTAGATCATAACCGACAACCACCAGAAAGGAAGGGTTAACTACTCCTAAGCCAAGTTACCCAAAGACAGCAAAGGGACCAGCGACAGCGATGGAAGACGGATTGGCTTAGGGAAAGGGCCGAGGCTCCAATAAGTGCTAGCCCAGCAATAGGAGAACTAGGTTGGGGGAGAGGAAGGAAGTGGTGTAAACGTGAAAAGTAAAGTGAGGAGGTTATAGATCTTTCTAAAATTAGGACATACTTGTTTTTCCCAAGTTGCAAAAAAGTTTGTAGGGTGGAGGTGAGGGTGAGAATAGAAAGCCTGGCAAGGCTGCACAGAGCCGGGCTGTAGACATAGGACAGCCATCCTTTGCTACTCAGGAGGCTGAGATCTGAGGATTGTCGTTTGAAGCCCGTTTGGGCAGGAAAATCCGTGAGACTCTTGTCTCCAACTAACCAGCAAAAGGCTGGAAGTGAAAGTGGAGCTATGGCTCAAGTGGTAGAGCACCAGCCTTGAATGAAAAGCTAAAGGACAAGCGCCCAGGCCCTGAGTTCAAGCCCCAACACTGGAATAAAAAATAGTAATAGAAAGGAGGAGGAAGAGGAGGAGAAGGAGGAGGAGGAGGAGGAGGAGGAGGAGGAGGAGGAGGAGGAGGAGGAGGAGGAGGAGGAGGAGGAGGAGGAGGAGGAGGAAGAGAAGGAGAAGGAGAAGGAGAAGGAGAAGGAGACGGAGAAGGAGAAGGAGAAGAAGAAGAAGAAGAAGAAGAAGAAGAAGAAGAAGAAGAAGAAGAAGAAGAAGAAGAAGAAGAAGAAGAAGAAGAAGAAGAAGAAGAAGAAGAAACAGAAACTAGTAGGAGAGACTCACTGTGAAAGGCAAGGAGCAGATGGCGAAGGTGATGGTCATAATGGCCAGGAGGATAAGGTGGTCCGCTTCCTCCGCCATGGATGTCCTGTCCCCTCTCCGGCGCGGCCCGGGGCCACCCCGCGCGCTGCCCCCCGAGGGCCCGCAGCGACTCCTCTTCCCACGGCGGTGCATGCGGACGAGGTTGAGGATGACACTGAAGTTGCAGGCCAGCACCGCCACGATGAGCAGCAGCAGCACGGTGGCGTAGAGCTGCAGGTAAGCGGTGCGCCCGTGCCGGATGAAGCACCACGTCCCGGGGCAGTACTGGACGTACTCACCGTAGCGGAGCAGCGGCAAGGAGCAGAAGAGCAGCGACACGGCGTAGATGGCGGGCAGCACGGCCAGGCCCCCGCGGCGCGAGAAGCGGCGCTGGTAGAAGTAGGGGTGGCCGATGGCGAGGTAGCGCTCCAAGGCCATGGCGAAGAGCATGAGCATCGTGGCCAGGCTGAAGAAGGTCATGGTGAAGGCGAAGTAGGTGCACACGCGGCTCTCGGGCGCCAAGGCCACCAACGTCTGGTTCCGCGCGTACGAAACCAGCACCACGGGGCTGATAAGGCAGGTCCCCAGGAGATCGGTGAGCACCAGCTCGGTCACCAGCACGTGGAACAAGGAGATGGGGTTCCGGCCGCCGGCGCTGCGCCCCGGGACCCCTCGCCTGCGGCGTGCCAGCAACGCCAGCGCAACCAAGTTCCCCAGCACCCCAGCCGAGAACATCACGGCGCTGATGGCGGGGCTCTCGCCCGAGGGGAGCCGCTGTCGACTCTCGCAGTCCTCGTCCAGCCGGGAGGCATTGGAGACGTTGCCCATGGTGGAGAGCGAGCTCCCCCGGAGGAGAGGCGCGCGCTCCGCTCCCCGCCCGTACCTGGGAGGAGGAGGGTCTGAGCGCCCGAGGGTTCCCAGACCCAGAGGGAAAAGGGGAGGGACTGAACTCCAGAGCCCCTTTCCGGCCCCCAGCACGCCCCGAGGTGTAGCCGCGCCCCGGGCCCGGCCGAGCACCCACTGGCCGTTCGGCTGCAGCCGCCCTCGAGGCTCCCGAACTTTCCCGGTGGCGGATCCGAGCAATCGGCGACGGGTCCTGAGTCCCGGCCGGGCGGAGCGCTCCTGGCCCCGGCCCGCGCAGTCCTGCGGCGGTTCCAGGAATGGGTCCCGGCCCTCCAGGGCGCCCCGGAAAGAGGTCGGAGCACCCTCTGGGCGCCGCGCGCAGAGCCGGGGCGCGCGGGCTGCTGGCGTCCTGGAGCTGCAGCGGTGGTCCGTGTTCCCTCCCCGAGAGCTGGAGGTCCCGGACACTGGACTGAGCCGTCTGGTCTCAGCTTGTCGCGTGGAATTGGGGCCGGGGTTTTGAGGGAGTACCGGACATTTTCAGGGCACAAAAGTCCAGGATAACAGGAAAGCAACATGACTCATCCAACTTCTAAGTAAGGAGTATCAGGGAATACCAGCCACTGAGCGCAGCTGAAAGACTATTATCTCTCTTTTCTTCCTTCCTTCCTTCCTTCCTTCCTTCCTTCCTTCCTTCCTTCCTTCCTTCCTTCCTTCCTTCCTTCCTTCCTTCCTTCCTTCCTTCCTTCCTTCCTTCCCCTCTCTCTCTTTTTCTCTTTCTTTCTTTCTTTCTTTCTTTCTTTCTTTCTTTCTTTCTTTCTTTCTTTCTTTCTTTCTTTCTTTCTTTCTTTCTTTCTTTCTTTCTTTCTTTTCTTTCCCTTCCCAAGTTGATGCAACACAGGGTGGGACAAAAATAAGGAGGAAGTGAAAAGCAAGCTGGCCCGTTCCAAACACCCCAAAACCACACGCACCACTGACGGCCTGTTGTGCTACTGTGTTGATTTGGTTACTAGCATTTCACCTTTTCCTCTGTCAACACCAAAACGAATAACCACTGGTTTAAGCAACCTTAAAAAAAAAAAAGAAAAGAAAAGAAATATTTCTTGTAATTATATAAAATGGTATTTGTGACCACAGCTTGTAAACCATTCCAGTTCATTAATCTCTACTCAAGCTCAGTCTTGTAAGGACTGTGAATAGATCTGTTAGCCATTAATCTTTTCACATTCAATTATCCATGCAGGGCCCATTGGAAAAACCTATTCCTGGTAGTGTATTGGTAACTTGCCAGTTTTTGAATAGAGCTGACAAAAATGGTGACCTATCAACTATCCCAGGATCGTGAAAATAAACTAACGATTGATATTTAAAACAACAAAATAAAATCCAGCTTGGACTGAAGACTAAGTAACTTGTATCCCCAGCACCACAAAACAATTAGCAACAAGAAAAATCCAGCTTGGCTGGGCTCATGCCTGTAATCCTTGCTACTCAGGAGGCTGAGATCTGAGGATTGTGATTCAAAGACACCCCTTGCAGAAAAGTCCATGAGACTCTCATCTCCAATAAACTACTCAACAAAAAGTCTGAAGTGGAGCTGTGGCTCAAGTAGTAGAAAGCTAGCCTTGAGCAAAAGAAGCCCAGAGAGGGCTGGGAAGGTGGCTCAGTGGTAGTGCGCTTGCCTTGCATGCCTGAGGCCCTGGGTTGGATTCCTCAGCACCACATAGAGAAAAAGGCGGGAAGTGGCGCTGTGGCTCAAGTGGTAGAGCGCTAGCCTTGAGCTGAAGAGCTGAGGGACAGAGCCCAGGCCCAGAGTTCAGGCCCCACGACCGGACCCCACAAAAAGAAGCCCAGAGACAATGCCCAGGCCTTGCATTCAAGCTCCAGAACCAGTATCAAAAAAAAAAAAAAAAAATCCAGCTTGACATCCAATGATCTGGGTAATTAGATGCCACTAGAAAGGTGGAATTCTGCGATCCTCAGATCTCAGCCTCCTGAATAGCTAAGATTAGGGGCATGAGCCACTAGTGCCTGGCTACTTAAAGGATTTTTGAGTGATGAAACTTTAACTGTGTTTATTTTCAAATGGTTTTATACCTTTGCTGTTTTCATAATTTCCCTTATTACAAAAGCCTATTATTGACCCTTTCCTACATCCCTGTCTCTAGCTTTCCTTTGGATAGGTATCTGGTGGCAAGGCTCCCTTGGCTTTAATGAGTATCAGAGCCACAGTGTAGTTCAAAAATCCTTACCTCATCCCTTTCTTCCTTCTCTTACTATTCTCCACCCTGACTCAGTCCCAGGCCAAGAGAAGATTTGCACAGTGTGCACAAGCTAGTACCTAGCACACATTGCTTTCCACAAAGTCACCCCTTAGACCTGGAATCTGCACCTCAAGCATGCAGTAGGCCTGGGAAAGATGCCTACCTGGAGCACCAAAAGACTAGGACCAACATTTGAGCAGGGAATTCCATGATCTCGGTACAAGGCAGGTGGCCTGCAAGAGTATGGCACAGGAAATGGGTGAGTGGTGTCCCACCGGTGGGAAGATGGATTTGTGACAAGAGGAAGACCACAGGGAGGGCCTAGAAGGCTTGGGGGATGGTATCTTATCAACTACTCTACTGTGTTGCCCCTTTTAGCTGCTACCAACAATTCAAATTACCCATTGTATATGATTCCAGAATTTTTTTATTGAGTATTTTTATTGTCTTTAAGTAGTTGTACTATGGAGTTGCCATTCAACAAAGCAGTTTAGGAATACAGTTGCCTTGATCAATGTCACTCTTGTCAACATTCTCACCCATCTTTCCTATGATTCCAGAATTTGGATGGTAAAAAATATATCTGTGTGTGCAGAATGTGTGTATTCATACATATATTGTCTCGACATATTTATGTGTAAATATGTCTTTGTATATTTGGTTTGTCAGTTTTGCTATGTCTCATGTTGTCAGATGTCTTACTAGAAGGGTTAGTTCCTGTTAGTTCCTCAACAGGTCTAACACATTTGTTCCAGTAAGGCCAACTCTTGTTTTATCTTGCTTAAAAGCTGCCTCTTGGGGCTGGGAAGATGGTTCAGTGGTAGAGTGTTTTCCTTGCATGCATGAGGCCCTGAGTTGATTCCTCAGTACCACATACGCAGAAAAAGCTAGAAGTAGCACTGTGGCTCAAGTGGTAGAATGCTAGCCTTGAGCTGAAGAGTCCCCAGGCCCAGAGTTCAGGCCACTACTGACAAAAACAAAAAACAAAAAAAAACAAAAAAAACTGCTTCTTTTTATTGATAAGATCAGTGTCTCCATCTTAATAATACAATTTCAGTTCATACAGAGCCTAGATTTTCCTAACAGAAAACAAATGAATAACCCTCAGTTCCAGGACTGAGCCAGCAATCTTAGCTAATACTTTAGTTATTGTGTGTGAGACCATTGTATTTGGGAAATAGCAGGTGATGTACAATTTTATGTGTCAACTTGAGTAGCCATGGGATGTTCAAAATGCTAGATACACAAAGGCAGGGTGTGTCTGTAAAAAGGCTTCTGCACACTATCAGTGTTTGAGCCGGCAGGAAAGCAGATATCTAACCCCTCTAAGTGGGAGAGCCTTCTTCCAATCTATGGGGGACTGAACAGAACTGAAAGGGTAGAGGAAGTATGAATTTCCAGCTTGAGCAGAGACAATTGTCTTCTTTTTTGTCCTCAGTATTGCTGACTCTCAGGCCTTGCAAACCCAGACTGAAATCATCATGATTATCTCTTCCGCTCTGAGACCTCTTTCTAACTCCATCATACATACAGATAAAGTTACATGTTGTTTAATGGCAGACACATGTTCTTAGGTGGTTCTGTGGTTGTACAAACACTGTAGAGTGTACTCACACAAACGAGTGTGGCTACAAGATAGTTAGGCAACATAATCTTATAAGACCACCATTATCTATGAAGTACATGTGATTGTGAATACAGGAATCATACATCTGCCCACCTCCAACACCCAGGTTAGATTGTTTTTCCCACTTTGACAAATATCTGAGAAAAACCATTTAAGAAAAGGAAAGAGTTATTTTAGTTCATAGTTTCAGAGATTATAGTCCAATGTTGTGGATCCATTGCTTTCAGCTAGAGGTGTGGAAGACGAAAGTTGCTTACTCACATGGTAGCTATGAAGAGAGACAGGAAAGGGCCTGAGACAAAGTATATCTTTTTAGGGCACGTCTTTAGTGACCCTCTTTCCCCCAAGTAGGCCTCACTTGTCAAGTTCTGCTACATGCAATAGTCTTTTCAAATTTAGAATCCATCCATGGATGGATACACTGATGAAAACCAAGCCCTCATGATTGGATCACTTCTCAAAAATCCCATCTCTGAACACTGCTTGTATTGGAGTCCACCCCTTTAATACATGAACCTTTTCAAGGGACACTTCATATCCAAAGCACAGCACATATCTATGTACATATTCAGTTGGTTCTTTTACTTTGGAAAGCCCTGACCAATACATGTGACTAAAACTCCAAATACTTAACTGAAGTAATTTAAATTACTTAATGTAGGCCATTTCTTCAAAAGTAAGAAGATTTGTATTTGGAGGAAGAAGAGTCGGGGGGAGGGGGAGGAGGGGAAAGCCAGGATTCATTCTTGCTCATTCTTGTGTTTGTTATTTGTTTCTATTTATTCTCATGTGAGAGAGCTAGGTTTGAGGGCTTTCACCTATTGTACCCATAATTCTAGATACTCAGGGGACAGAAATATGAAGATCACAATCCTAAGTCATCTCAGGCAGGAAACACCAAGAGATTATATCTCAAAAAACCATCAAAACCCTGGCTAAAGTCATGGCTCAAGTGGTAGAGCACCAACCATAAGTGAAAAAGCCATGTGAGAGCTTCCAGAAAAAAAAAAAGGATACATCTCCATACTTATTAAAATGACCTTTATCATATTTTGGGTTAAAAAAGTATATATTTATATAATGCCATTAATGTTAAATTATATTCATAAGCATTTGCATAGGGCAGATAAAGATGATCAACAAAATATTAATGATATTTTCTCTAAATAGTGCTTTCTTTTTATACTTGTATATTTTAGTTGATTTTTCTATAAATTTGTATTGCCTTTACATTAGAAAATGCAGGAAGATGATGTTGTTTAGAGAGTCTTTTTCTGTTCTCTGTGTGTGTGTGTGTGTTCTGGGGTGTGAACCCAGAGCTTAGATGCTG